CGTCCTTCCTACTCAAAAAATGACGTTAAATCACAGCTAAGGTCGAAGGAACAGAATATCCCCTATTCAATTCATTCTCCTCTCAGCATTACCAATTCCCAGGGGTGCATACTCGCCATAAAGACCGCCATAAAGACCACTGCAGTTGTTTTTTCTGATTTATGATACTAGGAGTTCATTTTCAGCGTTCGATTTTACCAGAAGGAGCTACCATACGATATTCAGTCGAAAATAATGGCATTGATGCAAGTAAGAAGACGGTATCAAGTACTTCACTTGATTCCAGGTGGGCCAATGCCTTATAGAAAGATTCGGTCCCAGAGCTGTTACGTAAACATGAGCTCTTTAAGCTCAACTGGTACACTGAACTTGAGATCGCGTGGAGCTGCTATAGGATCGACTATGTTGAGCATGCTGACTACCTCCAGAAAGTCGAGTTCAAACAACGTTGCGAATTCCTCATCATCGCCATCATTGTAAGGCTCATTATTTTTTTTAACAATATGAATCATAATACTTAGGACTAGGTGTCAGTGGCGTGGTTTGGTTTCGCTGTTCGCTAAGTTTTTGAATCTTATCCTCTCTATATCTTGAGACTCACCCTAATTAGGAAGCTCTGTCCTTTTTCTTCCAACAATTTAATTGACAAACAACAAAAAATTCCGGAGTTAATCAGTCCCTCGAACCGAAATATATAATTTATGGAGGTTCGGTTATCTAGTGTCTCTCCCGATGAAATAGCGTGGGCAGAGACAGACTTGACAATGAGAGGAGTCCTATACGAACTGCTATACTTTACCCATAGGCTGTAGATGCTGAAGGGGTTTTAACTCATTAGGAAGGCGGGTTGGTTGCAAGATGACATTATCACTGTCTTCATCTGAAGTTTAGATCATATTGAATACTGATTATTCTCATTTGCAGAGTAAATAACCGCACTATAGAACGTATAGATGCTGCCCGTGTATTTGCGTCAATACGAGATAGCAGCCTGGATTCGTCTCGCCCTTCAGATATTCTGAGCAGGAGGCCAACGATGGATGGGCTGGAAGGTTATTATGCGAGATATTCAAGCTCGTTGAGAATAATAATCAGTTTCTATTGTAGGTATACGTCTTCGCTCACGGCCTCGGAGAAGTTTGGACCAAGCGGCTTGTGCTCCTCCGCTTCCACCTAGGACACATGCTTTCAAGTCCAGCGATTCTCTGAGCGATGACAGGACTATTTTGAATGGAACACGGCATAATAAGGTATAAGCAGAGTAATAGAGTTGTGCTGTAACTTCAAGGACCTGAGCTTATTTTTTAGGAACTAACTCATTTTTATGCTTTTCGAATAAGTTTTTCTTTTACAGTCACCAATACCCACTCCAATAACGGATTTGAGTGATCTGCAACGGTTTTGATTCATAATAATTATTTATTGCCTTCATTGTAGCTCTATTTAGATTGTTAAGTGCCCAATTTATTATGTTGTTACGGTGGTGCATACAGATTGTTGCCTCGTTGTTTTTCATTTCACTTAATAACCCATTTCTCTTACCCGCCTAATAATTCGTTGTATATTTACTTCAATAATAAGACGTGTCTCACACCAGTAGCACATTGTTCTAGTCACTTAAATGAACAATTCTGCCAGTTTTTTGAAGATTTTTTATTTTTTCTTCTTCTCCTTTTCCTTCGTTTTCACCTTTTTTTCTGCATAGAAAAAGATACTGATAAAAGATTGTAAAACTCCCATTCGTTTCTGAAAGTAAGCAGTTTAAGTGCCAACTAAGAGCGAAGGGGGAGTCGCGTTTATACTTTGAAAAAAAACTCAAAGTATCAACGCAGGTGATCATCGCCAAGGGCCACTCATGTCTTCTATCGGAAGGGCTTTCTTAACGTATATGCTGCCAGGATTAACTCTGATACTTCATGGGCACAGAAATTGTCTGCAACTCTGAGAGTCATACTTATATGTACTGAAATGATAATGTTCGCATACTATTTTGGAGAGTTAGAGTATAAATTACTCAGCTTGATCGATCCTACTCAAGATGCGTCCCGTGTTCTTCTCCTGCTGAGAAGCACAGTGGCTTTCGATTGTGTATTCAGCGCAGGGGGAGGTTTAAGAAAACTTGTGGTTTTTGGCTCATTCCTCCTATCAAACAGCTCAGTCTCAATTTACCTGGTCCGAAGGAGGGAGGGTTATATAAGCCTGAGCAGAACTCGATTCGCGGGCTGTGCATGTGCAAAAAAAAAGCAGCCAAACCAAAAATCGTCAGTTTAAGGTAAGGAACTTCTTCTGGAACTTCCCAATGGGACTGACTCTAATCTTATACTGTCATTGGGTACTCTGATCCTTGTACTTCGATCAGTCTTCGGGTCTTCACTTCTAGCCCACTTGCCCTAGATTTGTTCGAGATCATTGAACGCTAACCTCTTCTCTTCAAACCCTTAGATGTACCATAATCGAATGTTCACTTTCATTGACGTTACTTGTTCTTTTCAGCGTTCTTCATCACAATGAGGTAACTTCTTACGAGACCTTTGGTCAACTATTGACATCACAGAACATTACCGAACCGGTTCGATTCGGAAAGTTGACGAGTGACAACACTTTATGCCGAATATTTTCCTTTGTCATACACTCAGAAATCGATAAACATGAAGTGTAAACAAGTGAGCTATTGTTCTATCTTTATTTAGCAATAATACCCGCAAAGCATGGAAGAACGAAGTAAGAAAACTATAAAATACGAAACTTGATTATGTCGAAAACGATGGAAGGACGACTGTTTAGACGATGGATCTCACAACTCCTAAATTCATTTACTTGATGAGGTTGACAGAACTAATTCTTCTCAAGGAAACTCAGGGTTTAAAGGGTTTGACTGACCTTCTGGTATCGGTGTAATCACTCGTTTCGCACGTAGTAATGGCTTTCCGATTTGTCGTACAAACGGAAGCGGGCTGGTGGCAGTCAGTCGTCGTGGACGAGCTGCTTGTGCTGACGATTCGCTCATTTCTGAAACGAATTCGATTCTAGAGAACGGTTTTCTATTTCGTGACTGGCCAAATACTTATTTTGAAAGGACTTCAGTAAAGAATTTGGTACTGTATATGGCCCAGCCCTTGAACTCTCTAATATGGTCCTTTTCAGCATTACTGTACATTTGCTGAATAAGCGATCAATGGAACTGACTATGATCAATTGTAAAGTTATATTTGGAAAGCCCAGTGTCTAGAGCTCAACCTCACCATTACGACCCCTGCTAATGACTTGTTTATACTTTCTGTTTACTCACCAGATGGCAACGTTGGCAATTCATCGCCATGTATATCGTCCACTAATAGCATCAGAGTGATGATAAGGATCGTTTGGAACATCTGAAATAGGAATGCTCTATAGAGAATGGGTTTACTGTTTGGATCACCGAAAATGCGACAGGAGAGCGAATACATTTCGGAACAACTGTTCAATGGCCAAATGAGTAGAGAGACTTATGATGCTACCATTTGGGTTCCCTACTAGAAAAAGGCTCTTGAGGGAACAAAAAGTACTTTGGAACAGGTTCGTTTATTCTAGAACGTTGGTGTACCGAACTCTATGGACTGGATCTTAGTACCAGTGGTTGTGCGAATTCCCTACTTCTCATGAAGTACAGGTGTAGGTGTGTAGTGCATAGGTGTAAAGCTTTGGAAGGGCCTCCGAGATAACTCTCGAAGGAAGCCTCCCTAGCTCAACGGGAGAACGGAAAAAGTTCCGAAGTACAGGAAGAGATAGGAATGGAGAAAGGATGAAGGGAAAAGGCCGAAAAGGGAGCTGAAGAAGGCTCATGACATGGTCGTTGAAAATTCCCAGAATGGTCGCTTCGGAATGGAGAGTGATTGATGGTTTCACTTAGTTATAGAGGCACCTAGTAAGTAGGTACATAGGCACTACTGACAAGTAAGTAACACTGATGATGTATGATAATAAACAGGTTTTCAGGGAACTGTTCTAGAATTGCTTTTTTGTCCTTGGACAAAGGCATCTACAAATACAGAAACGGTAAAATTCACCTTTTCTAGCGAATGGGGCCAAATCATTCAGTCACTTGCCCCCCCCCCCCTCTTCGAAGTAAAGCAGTAATTACAAGTGGGTGCAGAAACGAAAATACACAGAGTTAAAGGGCTGCACGCAAGAACCAGAGCGAGGGTAGAGCGCTGGCGAGCCCGAGCGGCTCGGAAGGCAGGATTGCGCCTGTTCGAGTCGACCCGCACTACTATATCCTCGTCTGGTCAGTTTATTGGGGCCAGATCTGCTTGCGAGAATAGTCTCTGAACATCGTCGAACAATCGCAAATCATTGCCGCTCTGGGGCAGTTAATCCCTTCTGAGATCATTGCCTCGAACCTCAGAACAAGAATCTCCCACGTTAAAAAGGGGACCGACAGACATACTATCCTCAATCGTTCCTCCTCCGCAAGAAGCAATTCTGCTCTGAATGTGGTCAATGCAAAAAACTTTTATCGGGTAGAAAGAGAGAGGAGGAACGGTCAGGGAAATTGTAGAAGAGCCAAGTGAAAAGAATCTAAGTTACAGGAGATAACGATAAGAGTATGAATGCTAAAGGCAGGGAAAAGGTTGGTAATTCGGGAGGATTCACGGAAGACTCAACCCCATTCAACTATCCCTATTTATTTCGTGATCATTCTGTAGTAGAACGTAGTACTAATGATAACAGTGATAATAGCAATGATAAATAATGATAAACGTTGATAAATAATGATAAGTTTTTGATCGGTCCATTCTGTCAGGGAACTTTTCTCACGGTGCCCTCTAATGCGGGTATTGTCATGGGGAAGTTGAATAGTAGGAAAACATCGAATCGAACTTTGAACAACGTAATCATATTCTTTATGAGATGGAATCAAATCAAGACTATGACGAGAGTTCTCAATGGGGAATCGTCAATGTTCCTCAAAAGAGAGGGGAACGTAGAAGCCGTCATTGTTTAGCTCGAGAGAGGGGCAGGGTTCCAGAGAAAAGCTGATGAAAATGAATGGAATCGGAGTCTGGAGCAATACGACACCCACTCCGGGAAGGAAGACAGAACAGAATGTGGGAAAGAAGGAATGAGAGCGATTTTTCCCCATCATTCAACAATTATACAGTCAAAAGTATCCATTTACAGACGGAGGGGTGTGGTGTTGAGTGGATTCAGTGGACACAAGCTCATCAAGCCTTCTATTCCTCCTTGGTCGAGCAGTTGGTATCAGACTCGTCTGGGAGGATAAAGTGACTTGTACAGCAGCTGGCCACCGCAAGTCACTGTATAGGCTAGATAAGCATTCAAACGTCACTGGGATTTTAGACGGAACTCGGTAGCAAAGGCGCATCCCAGTGAGAAGATTGATCAAGGCCAGAATGCCCTAACCTCAATCATTGACATCGAAGTGAAGAAATAATTAATGCGAAAATATGATCAAAGGCATCAACTAATAAATAAATTACTATGAGCAACCAGCAAACGCAAAGAAGGAACGGTATATGGGAAACGACACCGTAAATTTCTATGACAAAGAAGACGTTCGATGGTGACGGCCTGTTTCCATCAATCAAAAAGACCTGCCCATTCAATTGTACAACAATGTACCACCTGTTGTGAGATGGAAGGAACTGGTGCCTATTATGAAGCCGTCGACTGCATTTGCAAGACATGCCCCTCCTTTTAACGGCCTAGGACTGGATTGTTGAAGTTATTAACCAGAAAGAGCACTTTTAGTGGCTCTGAACTTATCCTTTTACACGAGAATGAACTTGTCACTTTACTTTTTATCTAATTAGAATTAATGCCCTTTCTTAGTCCTCTGACGCACGCGTCAGCAACTGGTAAGTCCTTTACGAGTTCAAAGTAGAAGGTTCTCAAAGGTGATTTTGGAAAGGTTGAGGGCTGCGATAAAACAATCACTTCCAATGAAAAACTTGTTCCTTAACATGATCAAGACCATACTAACCAGTTCTGGCCTCATCTAAATTCATTTTTATCACTTCCTACTACCTTAGTTCACTTTATTAACCCTACCTTACTGGGACCCTGCTACCATACCAATGGCGTGTAGATCAAGTTTGGTACAGTAATCCTACTGCACCAAGTAATGCAGCTTTGACCCCTTTGAATTCGCGTAGATGACGACGAGCTTTTCTAAAAACGGTAAAATGCAGAATTGTCTGAAAACTGGCTCTACCCACCGCTGTGAAGCTCAGTTGTGCTTACAAACGTCCCTACAACTTTGAATGAAGACGAATGCATAGTGCAAATAGTCTTCTGCACGTCGGGAAACTTTATTTATCATAGTAAACTTGCTTTCAAGCGCAGAAAATAAATGAACACAAAGCAGAAAGCAGTAGCATCAGAGGCAATACTTATGAGGCTTCAATTGCTTGTTTACTCGATTTCTAATGTTGATATTTACTCGCAATCTACACAGGTTTTGATTGACCTTGGAATGTTGGGCTCTTGAAGCAACACGTTTCCCATGTTCCTAACTGGGCTAGTTCATCGAGAGCCATATCATACTATTGTGTGTGACTGAATAAATAGTTCGCTGTGATAGGCAAAGACTGGGAGAGGGGCTGAAGGATGGGTTATGATATGATGAAGCAGAACTTCAACCAGAAGTTACGCAATTGAAATTGAAAACCTCATGACTAGGTGGATAACAAAAAAGATGTAATCCAGGTGACATATGGGACGCTCGAAGGAAGCAGTGGGCGCTATTGAGGGCTGACGTGGGTGAGGTCTACTTCACATGCATGATGGGAAGTATAAACGCATTAAAGTGCACTTTAGGTTCAATGCTTATTGACAATCACTTGTCCAGATTGTTGTGATTCTATAATAAAAATAAATTTATAGTCCAAAAGAGCAAAAACGCCAACATCTGACCGCTGTACACTAAAGAATTAAAAAAGCACAGAAGAAAGTTCATCCAAAGATCTTATTGACAAGAAGAGTCAATGAAAAATTACAATTACAATTAAAATTACAATTACAGTATCCATGCATACAGTATATACAGTGGAACGTAAGTGTTAGTAGCTGACTGGGATAGCTATGCAGGGTAACGGTAGGGCCAACCCATGAGCCAAGATCATGACCGTCTCATATCTTAGCCAGGAATTCGGGAACCACTTGAATTCCGCTGGCAGAGCTGAATGAAAGAAACACGGAGATCGTATACTATTTGTTTACTACGCCTTCCCTATGCAAACATATCTGCTGCCGTGGGTTCAGCTCCGGAAGACAAGAAAACATTCTTGCGTTTTTTGAGTCCGGTGGAATGTGTTTATATGTCTCTCTCTCTCTTTCAGTGCATAAGCTGATTTCCGGAACTTCATGGGATACCCTTTCCTGGTAAAGAGGCCTAGAAGGTTTTTAAGGGCTTTTACTACGCACTACGGGTAGGGGAATTGAGAAAACTGGGGCCCAAAAAAGTTTTGGCTCGTTCATAATGATATGACAATGAATATGTCGGTGAAGATCTTCCCATATTGAACTCATCCTCCCCACAACCCACCCCTGCGTCCTGCCTCCTACCCGTTCCCATTCGCTCCCAATTCCCACACCTTTCAAAGTCGCTGATCAAGGGAAGGGATTGTGTAATGAGAAACCTCCTGCGGGGTGCTATCAAAACATTCCTTTACGAATTGACCTGATGTGGCTTTCAAAGTTCTTTACCCTTTCGATAAGATATGACCTTTGAAGTATTTCACCGGATGCTCGGCCTTGAGTGGGGCGCAATGGCAAGACTCGTCATGCAAAATGGATGCATCCTTGAATATGGGAGCAATTGAAATGTTTTCTGATCATTTTTCTAATTGATGAGCGAAATTGGCCAAAAATAATTTCGAAATTTGAAATAATCATTCCAAGAAAAAGATTCCTCGAAAAGATCTTCCACTAAGGGTACTCATAGCATGAACAACGTTCCAAAAGGCTATGAACGTATTACCTAAACGCGCAATCAAATAACATTTACCTACATTATAGTAAAAGTATCAAATATTGATTTATGAGGGAGAAGAAAACTTGTTGCTTTGGAGTTGTTCGTCGTCAGANACTATGAACGTATTGCCTAGAAACAATCAAATAACATTTATCTACATTATAGTAAAAGTATCAAATATTGATTTATGAGGGAGAAGAAAACTTGTTGCTTTGGAGTTGTTCGTCGTCAGACAAATCGACGCCACACCTCAAGGGCCAACTAGAGCGTGAAAAGTACTCGCTGGTACGAATTTCGAACACATGATCCCGGCTTCAATTTCATCCTACCTCGAGCCGGTTCAGGACAGCAATCCCTACGATTCCTTCCGTTGAGTTTCCAGTAACTCATCAAAAA